AGTTCTTGAACTATCTCTCCGAAGCTGGATACAGAGTCAGCAGAACCCACTTCGATCCCATGGGAGTGCGCACGAACGCGCCCCTGGCGCAATTTAAGACTGTCCTCATGAAGTACAGCACTCCCACGTACACGGGGGCGCAGGCAGAAGGCCCTCTCCATCTCACTGAAGATATTCAGGCAGGAGAACAGGTTCAAGCTGGTGCAGATGGCAAGGCAGAAGATGCCGAGTTCCTGGAAGATGATAAATCCGGAGTTGCTGCTGCCACGTTCACAAAAAACTACCTGGCTCACTGCACGGCTGAGTAATGCAGAGCGTTTTGTCCGTAGATCAGGAATTACAGCCTTAGGAGCACCCCTTGTTCAAGTAAGCCAGTATTTCTTACCAAACTGGATTTGGAACACTTGAGTTACCTGCTGTTTTAATTTGAAAAGACGTTTTAGAATTGTGTAGCACAACTTCTACCCCTGACCGCAGAGTGTGTGGTCAAGGTGGTGTTACTGGGAGAAGCTCTCCGAGACAGTTACTCACATCCACTTCCACACTGAGGCACTGTGGCTGCTCCCGAGTCTTTGGAAAAGCCTTCTTGCCAGCACAGCGCCCAGAAGGGTGGATGGGGCCAAAAGTCGTGAGCATTTCTGAATGTGAGGTTAATAGGAAATGGAATATTCCTAAAATAAATCATTCCTAAAACCTGGCTGGTTACAATTCAGAGGGAGGGCATGGGAAGGCGATAAAATACCATGGGATAACGTGTGATCTCAGTTTAAGCAAGCCAGGAAGCCCTGGCTCGCTGCACTCCTAACTCCAGATTGATCGCACACGGAATTTGGGTTCTGTTTCCGTACATCTGCCTACAAGCGCGGACCTAAACAAGTGGGAACGGAAAGGATTTGTCCCAAGACTTGGTGAGAGCTCCGTTTATAACCAAACTCTAGTGAACTGTGTTAGTCCCTCCAGGCGGTTGGTTGGTTGGAGATGACACTTGGCTGCGTTCTGCACAAAGGTACGGTGAGAAGGCACCCCAGGCTCTAGGTGCAGCTTTGCTCCAAGTTTGGCTAGAGTACAACCTTAGCTTTTGCTAAAAAGGTCTCTTCTGTGAATGAGGTTCTTGTGTGGTGGTGGCCAGTTCTGGGTTCCTGAAATACATGGCAGCATTCCAGCCAAGCAAGCTCGACTTTGTCTTTTCTTTCCCCCCAAACGAGTTGAGATACCTCCTCCATACGTGTCACTTGAATCAGGAACAACCATCGCGATTGACCTAGTCCTTGCCGTTTTCCAGAGCTGTGTTCAGCCTGGCCCCCGGCACCAGCTTTATCCCAGAGCAGAACACAAGGGGTTATTATTCCTATTTATCCATGTCTGAAACTTCACAATAAGAGCACTGCTTCTCTCCTGAGCACTGAGCAAGAGTAACACCACTGATATGCTCCCGATCACGCAAAACTCCCTGAGCTCCTGTCAGGCCAGAATTAAGTTTCTGCCTCTTGTACCATCACCTCAAATTCAGGACTGCTTTGGTAATGAGTCACTTTCATTCTGTCCCAATTAAAAAATGAGGAGACCACTAAAGGGAGAAAAGATTGCACTTCAGCAATCTATTACAAGTTTCCTTCAAAAACTTAGTGCTTAGTTCTTTTCCAAACATAACTTGAAATCAAATTGGAAAGATATCTGGGAGGAGAAAGAAAAGTTAACAGCGTTCCCTTGTTTGGAACTAAGTATTTATTTTTTTAAGTGGAGAGACTGTTGGACGGCTTTGCAGAGACAGCGAAGTTCAGGTTTGTCTGTACAACTTGGGCCTCTTTCCTCTGTCAGAGGGGCAGAAGCAACTGTAATTTGGGACAAGGAGCTCCATCTGCTGTACGTGACCAGCAGAAGGGGCGGCTGTAACTCAGGCCTGTGAGAATTCTCTTTCTATTCAACAGTTGCTCATCAGGTGGGGTCAGTCCTGCAATAATTAGTTAACGGAACACTAGTGTTGTGCCCTGAGGCCTGAGCTGATACTTGGAGTAGCACTTTGCCAGGCACTCTGTGCCACTGTCACTACCAACAGGCCTTCAAGGTGCAAGAAATCTTTGTCAGATGGAGATGTTGCTGCAAGCAGCTTGTGCTGAACAGAAAATCGGAACTGATGAACCGCTGGAACCGTCAGGGTACTGCAATCAGTACTAGGTCATCAGCTGATGAGCACGCTGGAGAACAAATACCAGAGGGTGATGGAAAATGGAGTTTTAGGGGATGATCTCGTTGCCAGTATGGGTAGTACAGTGGCACCTCTAATGCTTTTTAGCTGAGGGACATGTCCATCTCCCCACTTCACACAGCAGAGTAGCTGCCCATGAGCACCTGAGCTCTCGGGGTGTTTTCTGTTTAGACTGAGGGATGCTTCAAGGGAGTTGAAGCTGTTCAGAGAAGGCTCTGAGAATCGGTGTCAGCACATCAAGTAGCAGCAGTGTAGCCTGAAAGGGACCTACCTCCTTCCACAACCAGAGAGAGCTTAAGCTCAGTGCATCTCAAGAAACCCTACTCTTGGTGTACACACGTGTTCCTTCTTAACTCAAGGTGCATCCTTCTGGTGAACAGTTGTAATAACCGTAGGGATAAAAGAAGGTGGAGGTCAGCTGCACCTACTCACCCTTCCCTTCAAACAACCCCAACAAACAAACCAATCCAAAGGTGTTTCTTTTAGGAATTCCCAGTAGGTTGTTGACAACATTTCTCCTTTTATTGTCAGTTGGAGAATTTCAGGGTGACTTTAGTTGGATACTAGAGCTAATTACGTTTACCCATACCTCACACGTTACGTACGTAAAAAACAACATGGCTTTAAAAGGTGGAAGAGTCGAGTCATTTTGAAAATAAAATAGTTTATAGCACTAAAGAGTCACAGTGCAATCAATGGTTTAATCAAACAACTACATTATATATATATATATAATATTTAAAGAACATAAATATTCAGTAAATTCACTACAACTTGAAAATAAAAAAGCTTCACCTTCTCCCAGGCTTTGTAAAGAACTGGGGACAAAGTGACAGCCAGCTCCTAGACGGAGTGCTCAGCTTCACAAACACCTCTTGCTGAAGGGACTGGACATGACCTTAGCTATCACAACGGGAAGGTACGCTGCAACTAATCTAGACGTTTCCCCGTGAATTTTAAAGCATTTCTCATCCCTGCTCTCCCACCCCCCCGGATTATACTTAGTGGACATGCACTACTAGTCTATACAATGCAACATTTCACCAGAAACTCATGAATAACGTTATTTCCTTAAAAACTGCCCCCTCTCTGTTCTCTGGAGGCTGGAGAACTTCTGTTTCATGTCACAAAACCCCCCAAGTCTTTCCAGTAAGAGAAATGAAGTTACTCAAAGAAGCCTGTGCAGTTTTCACATCGGGATAAAGCTGATCCGAAATGGCAGTCGGAACGGACGCGTCGTTACAAGCGCGAGGAGGCCTGAAAAACAGAAGCGACGGAAGGGCAGTTCCTTCCCAAGAGAATCTCCAAACCTCTGAATACTTACGTACCACATGCCAAAAACATCCTAACTACGGGCAAGACGAAGAAGGAGCAATACTGTGTGGTTGAAAGTCTATCACTTCTCACCTATCACAGCAACTTTTAGCTTCAGGTGCAAATGGGTGAAGGCTTCATCAGCAAGTCTACAGCGAAGGGAACCTCACGGTCGCGCCGCTGCCCTTAAGACAGAAGGCCAAGAGGTAAAGCCACCCCCATGAAGGGACAGCAAGGTCCAGAGCGAGGGAAGAGGAGTTCACCATGCAAACGAACAGCAGCTCCTGGACTTTGCACAACGGCCCACTGCCAAGTTTTAAAACTTGAACCTAAATTTAAGACACTAAACGGTAAACTTTGTCAAGTACTAAAATTGTCTTCCAAAGTGCTAAGCCATATTTCTTAAAGCTATGGCAAAAAAAAAAAAAAAAAAAAACAAAAAGAAAACCATAACCTTTGAGCAGCTTATGGTTGAAGTCCTCCCTGCTCGAACTGAAGGCTGGATAAGCTCACAGCTGGGGTGGCACAAATCCCATAAATCAAAGAATTTCGATGCTGCATTATGTCCATGTGCTGGAATTTCAGGGATTTTCTGTAAAAAACTCAAAAAGTTTTCAGAATGATTCTTTAAAGGAGGTTCTGATACATTCACAAGAAAAATCTGCTGTTCTAGGGAACAGAGTAGGGCTGTAAAAATTCCTGAAGATTTTGTTCCAATTGAGTTTGGTGAGGACAGGACAACCCTGCACCAGGGGCCAGACAGGAGGCTGCAGTGAGCATCGAGACTGGTATGTTCTACATGGGGAAGAGTTACGGGTTTGGGTTGTCTGGGTTTTTTTTTTGACCGAAATATTTGTTAAAATGCAAGCCAATCTCACGAATCCCCTTGTATTGAAGGATTAAGCCCGGAAAACAGCTGGGTTTTAAAGGACAGCTCTATTTGTTCACAAGAAAACAATTAATAAATCTTTTTAAAGGAATCAGATGACCTCTAGCTGCAAGACTACCAGAAATCAATTCTCTACCAACCTTTTCTATGGATAACCAGGAGCAAATGACACCATTTCACACACTCCTCGGCGTACGTTACTGTTTGGCTTCGCCATCCCATGCTCAGTATTTCACAGAGGCTACTGTAACCGGGGCAAATGTGTTAAGAAATCCAGATTTACCTGGACAAAATTAAGACATTCCAAACTGGAACACTCGTTCAATTCTCATGCATTAGGAACAAAAAAGCATGTCAAACACTGGAATGCACCGGAGAAGGTCATTTAGTCTCCTAGGGAAGAATGAAAAACCCAAACCAAAGACTAAATTAAACACAACCCAGAATACTGTCTAATCATATTAATAAGTATACTGAGGGAGCCTGAAGGCATCACACGTGTTGTCCATGAAGATAACGGTGGTGCCTTCTTTTAATATTAAAGTCACAGCTATAAAAAGAGTTAGTCCCATCTCAGTTTTCCAGCACAGCTTATTTATGTTCCTTTGTTGGTGCATAGTACAGTTCCATGGGTTTGTTCACTTTCCAGTACTTCTCACTGACCAATTCCAAGGAAAACGACCCATTTAATACCTAGGAGAGAAGACCAAAACAGAAATGAAATCAATCTGATGGCTCGCACAGGTAGTACTGGAGCACTGGAACGGGTTGCCCAGAGAAGCTGTGGCTGCCCCATCCCTGGAAGTGTTCAAGGCCAGGCTGGATGAGGCTTTGGGCAATCTGGTGTAGTGGAAGGTGTCCCTGCCCATGGCAGGGGGCTTGGAACTAGATGATCTTTGAGGTCCCTTCCAACCCAAACCATTCTATGATTTTATGAACTGTGGAAATCAGAGGAACGCACTGACTTAAAGAATTGTCACTGATAATGTGGAGCAAGGTATTAGTTAACCACTCGGCGTCAAAAAGCAACATGAAAGCTATTCTGAACTCCTGATGTCACTAAAACAGCTCCGAGAAAACACTTTTGCAAAGTGAATATAGTTGTAAATCAAGTGAACTTGGAGTTTTCCCTCTTTCCTCTCTTTGCAAATGGAGTGGTAGATGTGATAGATGTGGTAGATCTACAGCAGAAGCGTCATCTCTGCTTTCATCCAAGGGACAGTCTCTAGTCATGTCTGAAAGTAGACTCTCATGGCAGAGCATCTCTCTCGTAACCAGGAGACTCGTTTTATTCCCGTAAACGCTCGAGTGTAAGACCCAGCGCCGAGTTCAAGCTAACTGCGCTATTGCCATGATGTTCCATCTGTGTATTCCGAAGTCAGTGACAGAGGAGGGATTCTTCCCTAAGCGCGCTCCCAGCTGTTCCATAGTGGAATAGTAGAAGCCTACACGGAAGCGGGAGAAATGCCGCCTTACGACAGCGCTTCCTAGCGCCGGGAAGCGTCTGCCTGCTCTGGAAACCAGAGTCTCAGATGAATGAATGTTTTTCCTCTTCAATTTTGAAGTGTAAAACAAAAGGTGAGGTCCTCACCTGGCCTAAGTCAGCTAGTAGCTGCTGGCATCTCTTCCCCAAGTAGTTTATCCGCCTCCTTTTCCACTCACCAAGTGTTTTCCTACCAGGGAACTGACCTGCTTCTAAATAAACAACGGGGTGCTATGAGTTGTACCCCTAGGCCAACTCGGGAAAAGTCCGTCCGAGTAGATTTTAGTCAAATCTGGATCAAAGACGTATGGGTGCTCGCTTCTCCTCCTAGCCACAAGTTCTACTTACAGTGAACTGCCCGTTGGCGGTCGCGATGTAAATGGTGTACTGCTTCTCACTGGCCGTGTCAAGGTTCATCTGGTTGGACTCTCCTTTGCTACGAAGCTCCTCCAAAGCCAACCTCACGGCTAGGTACTTGGACAAGTGATCCACGGTGGCATTGCCTGAGGTCTTGATGTATCTGTGACAACAACCACAAAGATAACCGGAGAGGTTTGAGTTGCAGGTATGGGGAACAACAAGGGAAGTTACTCTTCCTTATTGCCTCACTACTTGTTCCCACTTCGATTCTCCATGCGGGAATTAAAGGCTGACACAAACGCTGCAGAGGCCTCTCCCAGCAGTCTAGCTTTGCCTTTCGGAACAACCCCCAGAACTCCGTCGCAATTCCAAACCAAAAAGAAAAGCTGGCTGAAGTTTTTCAAGTATTTATAGGCACTACAGAGAGATGTCTCATCAGGAGACAAAGCCAAGAAGGGATCTGAGAAAACTCCACGAGACTGCTCGTTGCTGTCATCCAAAATTTGCAGTCTGTGCTTGGACTGGATCATGAAAAAAAATGCCAGGAAAAACTTCCAGCCTACAAATCCCGCTGACACAAAGCCGCTCCAAAAACTGCTGATGCTATGCAAGGTTTGTTTATTCCCAAAGAATATTAGGATTAAGTAGAAAAAGGCGGATATTATACCATTGCCCTAGTACTCAGTGTGAACTGCAATGCTAGAAACCTTTAAAAACGTCTTTATTTGTGATCAAAGGCTTAAACCAGATTGTTGCTGCATTCTTGATAATAGTTGAGCAGCACCATCTACCTGACTTGCAACGGGAGGAAGGGAAGGTGCATATGGACTTTCCAGGATGTCCATATGGATGTCCAAACAGGATGTGGTATGATATAAGGAAAAGATTTTTTACAATGAGGGTGATGAGGCACTGGAACAGGGTGCCCAGAGAAGTTGTGGCTGCCTCATCCCTGGAAGTGTTCAAGGCCAGGTTGGATGAGACTTGTGGAAGGTGTCCCTGCCCACGGCAGAGGGGTTGGAACTAGATGGTCTTTGAGGTCCCTTCCAACCCAAACCATTCTATGGTTCTATGATTCAAAATAAATTGATTTTTAAAAGCCCCAAGGAGTGACAGAAAACAAAAGCACCAGAAAATAACAGGAGAATACATGAGGAGGAATAGAAGACATTTACCTCGTCTGTGCGCTGTCATCGTTCTCCATGAGGGTTGGATGAGGCCTGAAGACCAATTCGATTTCACTAGCACCATCCATCACGGGGTCTATTGCCACAGTTGTGTTGTTATTGTCCAGTTCTAGCCCAGAATCATCCGACGTTTTGGTCCTCTTGTTACTGGGCCCCGCTTCCTGGTTGCTGTGTGTGGAGGCATTGCTACAGTGTGAACTGTCCCCGTTATCTTCTGCTCCGCTGCCGTTCTCGATCTGTTGCTTCTTGCCCCTCTGTAACCTGAGCAGAAATAGGAAACCACCGCTAACTCGCGCTCGGAATTCACCCAACGCACAGGCTTACAATGCTCATACGACTCCTCCCTCTCCTGGGCTCCCTCATGGATATTAGGAAGAAATTTTTCACTCAGAGGGTTGTGAGGCACTGGCACAGGTTGCCCAGAGAAGCTGTGGCTGCCCCATCCCTGGAAGTGTTCAAGGCCAGGTTGGATGAGGCTTTGAGCAACCTGGTGTAGTGGAAAGTAGTGTCCCTGCCCACGGCAGGGGGGTTGGAACTGGATGGTCTTTGAGGTCCCTTCCAACCCAAACCATTCTGTGATTCTATGATTCTATGCCAGAAGTTAGGCATATGCACGCACAAGCGCTAAACGTTGCAGAGATATTTAAAGTTTTTTTCAAAAAAATACAATAAAATTCATTCTTTCTTACAAAAAGATTCTCATAGACCAGACAAGATTTGTCCCTATCCCTCAAACACCTTTTAGACACATTTCAAGATCGCTTTTAATGTCATACATTTATTTTTATTTTTCAGACCATTATTTTCATCTAAATATAAATCCACATGGCATCTGAAACAGAAATCACACCGTGCTTCCCCACAACATAAAATTTGGGGCCTCTCCAGTTTAAATGCACACCCAGAACTTCTCTGCTGTGTATTCCAGCCTTGCCAATCAAGCCACGGCTAGTTCTGGCATCGCGTACGTTTATTTGCATGTAGTGGTGATATGTTCATAGATTCATAGATTCATAGATTTCTAGGTTGGAAAAGACCTTAGAGATCATCGAGTCCAACCGTCCCTAATCCCCATTAAACCATATCCTCAAGTAGATCATCCACCCTATTCTTAAACACATCCAGGGATGGAGACTCAACCACCTCCCTGGGCAGCCTAAGGTTGGCAGTTGGTACAGGGTTCATTGTATTATCATTATTATTATTATTAATTGTTTATTATCAAGATGCAAAAGCCACAGTTTGGGAAAGCTCAGCTGAAACCTGACGCAGAAGCTGCGGGGAGCGAGACCCAGGTTTCTGTTAGTAGCCAAAAGATTAACACTTACTTTGCCAAAGGTTAAAAATTCTTTTGGGAGACTTGGGAGGAGAGAAGAGGAATGTCGGGCGGCACAGGGAGCGGGGACAGACAGCGTGTTTTCAGTGTTAAGGCAAACGAAGGTCACACGTGGACAAATGAGGTACCTGTTCATTGCCTGAATCTTCAGTCCCTCCTCGATGCTGTGACTTAACGCCTGCTGGTTGTTGTGTTTGCTGATCCTGGCCAGCACTCGCTCCTGGTGAGCTTCGTATTCGTCTCGGCTCGGATAAATTTTGCTGATGAGAGCATCGAAATTGGGATCTGGTCTCAGCGATCTTTTCGAAACCAGCTTCTTACGACACGTGGGACATTCTTTATTGCTGGACAGGGACAAGAAGGAAAAAAAACCAAACAAACAAGAACAACAGTCTGCCTTAATGCTGCAATTTTTGGTCAAAGTGCTCACCGAGACTCAACATTTATAGTAAATCTGGAACGGGGCTTCTATCTTTTGCCAGATCATGTAGTTCCAGATATTGAAACAAAATCCCCCAAACGTGCATCTCCCTGCTTAACTGTTTGGGTTTTTTTTTAAAAAAAAAAGTATGGTTAAGCAAACTGTATTTAGACTGAAAAGTTCCACTCTGCAAACTGGTTCTTCCCTTAAGCCTCTGGCTGGATTTTCACCTAGAAAAAAGGCACATCTAGTGGGAATTATTTAAGGCATAGTCTTTCTAGCACTCACAGGACAAAACAGAGATGAAGGACCCTATTCTATGGTTCCAGCACTAATTAATGGGAAAACTAAAGCAGTCTTGCCCTTCCTACCATTTTGCTCTCATTTAACTAAAATGTCAGGTTCACACCATTTTTCTTCTCTAAGAGGAAGGGGCCTCAATAGCCAAAACGCTGGTGTCTACTCCTGATGGTTTTCTTGTTGCCTTCTAACGTGCCTTTGCTAATTACTCCTCAGAATTTACACAGGCACAGCAAATTAAGTGTGACATGCACACAGGTAATTGCCGTTACCAGAAATGGATTCTCAACATCACTGACTTAATTGCTGTTGGTTATCTCGGAGTTGTGTTGCTTTTGGGAAAACACGAACTTGTAATTGAAGAATACAAGAAAAATTATTTGTGCTTCAGTTGTAGGTTGTTTCAGGGGTGCAGCTTGGAAGCAGGACTACTCCTGAAAGGCCACACAATTTGGAAATTATTGTTAGGAGAAGGAAGAATGAGGGAAATAAGTCTCATTTTTGTAAGCAATGTACTATATTTTTTGTTTCGCTGTTGTAAGATCTTAAAAAAAAAAAAAAAAAGAAGATAAAAGGGGTTTTCAACCCCTTGCAAAAAAAACAAGTTATGGGATGATTTTTCATCCAAGGAAAAGGCCAAGTCTGCTCTGCCACAGGCGGCTCAACACACAGGAATGAAACACAAAAGGTGCCCTGTGCATTCAGGAACTGGCAGGGCACACGCACGTAACGTCCACAGCAACACCCAGGACTTGGAAGGATTTCCTTGATGACGTTTTCCTCTGAAGTGAAATCCCTCTTCCCTGTAGCCATATTGACGTACCCACTCCTGAGGGCTGTGATGATGCAGTCGGCACAGAAGCGATGCAAACATTCTTTTGTCGTCATGGTGTTTTTTAACATATCCAGACAGATGGGACACATCAGTTCACTGTGCAGGCTCCTGGGTGACACCACTATCTCCAAGCCATCGGTGATTGCTTCCTAACATAAAAGAAAGTTCTTGAATGGAATTTAGGCACTTCCTTGCAGAGATTGCATGGTTTACTAGTCTTTTAAAGAGAAACACAGTAAAAAGATAAACCAAGACAGATGCACAACCGGAAGCACATACAACCATGCTGCTAAAGAGGGGGAAGAAGGAAAGGAAGGAAGGGGAAAGGAAGGAAGGGGGAGAAGAGAAGAGGGGGAGAAGAGAAGAGGGGGAGAAGAGAAGAGGGGGAGAAGAGAAGAGGGGGAGAAGAGAAGAGAAGAGAAGAGAAGAGAAGAGAAGAGAAGAGAAGCGAAGAGAAGAGAAGAGAAGAGAAGAGAAGAGAAGAGAAGAGAGAAATGAGATATCTAAGATTTTACTAGCAACACAATTT